CAGCGGGAATTCCCAGGAGGCCTCCAGGAGCGCCCCTCACCCCCCTTCCCGCTGTGGGGTCCCCCCTCCGCCCCCGGAGCCGAGGCCAGGGAAGGGAGGCGGTGCAGAGGCCGAGCTGCTCCAGCTGCCCCAGGGTCTGCTGCCAGCCCAGCCCATCCGTGCCAATGCGGGTTCAGTTTCTTTCCTCCCTCATCCCAGCCAGCCTTCTCTCTTTTCAGGACACTCCCCTTTCCCGGAAAGCGGGGCTATGCTGGGAATGGGGCATGTGTGGCTCTGCTCCCAGGACCCAGAAGCCCTACCCTGTGGCCTGGCAGTGCCTTCAACCCCAGGCCAAGCCTCGGTGTCCCTCCTTGTGGATGCAGGACAGCAACTATGGGCACAGACTCTGAGCCACCCCGGGTTCAGATCGCAGCTCTGCCACTTGCTGGCTGTGTGCCTTGACATAAGTCACTTCCCCTTCCTGTGCCTCCTTTCCTTACCTGTCCATTGGGGATCAGAGCACCTGTGCCCTAGGGCTCAGGGCCTTAGAGAACCGCATTCACACAGGCTCTTCGTGAGCACCTGTGATGTGCCAGGCACTGCTCGTGCCTTGCCCACCCGATGCATGTCATCCCAAGTGTGGTGTCCTCACGTACAGATGGGAAAGTAGAGTCTCAGAAAAGAAATGCCTCTTGTCCGCAGTCACACAGCCAGTACGGGCTGGACATGGAATCTGAGCCAGGCCTGTCTGAATCCAAAGCATGACCAGGATGAGAACACTGTCTTGTCCCTAATCTGTGTCAGGCTTGTCCGTTCGGGCCCAGGGAACATTCTTCACCCCTTGGTAGGCAGGCAGGCTCTGGACCAGCCCCTGATGGAACTTTAGCCTGCCCTTCTGTGTCCCTGTACTGGGGACTGGGCATAGCCTAGCCCTCAATTTCCTCAGCACTGAAATGGGGACATTGTCATCCACAGGGAGGCAGTCATGACACTCAAAGAAGGGCCCCCTGTGCCAGCCTGGGCTGGGCTGCACTATGCAGGAGGGATGGAGGTTTGGCCCAGAGCTGCCACAGGGGAGCTACGTTACACAGTGGGGCCACCACCACATCCCACTGACCTACCCTCCCATGCTTAGCTCCTGGGGCTTTGATTCTGTCCCCTCCCTTGACTCTGCTCCCAGGGCTACTCCATTGTGTGGTTCCAGGCCCTTCGCAGTATAGTCCAGGTGAATGAAGTTGGTGTGGCACCTAGCCTGCATGACTGCATGACTGCATGCCAGGTGTTGTCCCCCAGCCCACTTTGTCACCTGTCCTGGCCCCTCCCCAGGACCAGTCTTCTGGTCAGGTTCCCAGGAGCCTTTACAGAGCTGGAGAAGCCCCTGGTGGCTACCACCTGCATCTTCCAGAAGCAACTGCTCCAGGGTTTGCAGCGTGATATGCAGGTGAGTGGCTCGGGTCCTTCTCTCCCTGCTTTCCACACCCAGCAGGTGCCCTGTGCCCTGGAGTCTGGGGGCCCAAGTCACAGCATTTGTTTACTCCAAGGGCAGTTTCAGGGGTGGTGTGTTGGGGGTGGGCAGGGGACCCAGACAAGTCCCCAGCTGGGCAGGGACAGTCAGTCTCCACTTCTTGGAGATGGCAGGGCCTAGTGACATAATTTGTAGGAAAGATGTAACCAGGGCACTATGTGGGGAAGGGGGTCAGCTAGACCCCCTGAATTTCTCCTATTGACATTGTCCCTAGACCTGAAGCACCCCTGTCAGGAGCATGCACTGGGCTCTGAGGGGAAGCCCTAGTGGATGGGGGGACAGAGTTAGAAGATTCCCACCCCTCATCCTTGCTCCCAGCCGCTCTTCAGGATCCTGTGCACCAAGGCCTGGCTGACACAGGATGCACTGCAGCCCCTCATGGACAAGGTGATAACCTTTGCCCGCCACCTGGAGCACGTGGCCCCACTTCCTGCACAGGTATTTGGAAGGGGCATGGCCCTGGTGGGTTCATGCCCAAGGCTGGGCCGTTGACCCTGACCCTGACCCTGACCCCCCATCTCAATCCTGATCCCAACGGCCCAGGAGACTCTGCAGGAGGCGCACCGGTATGTGGTCCGCGAGTACCTGGCGCAGGCGCTGAGGCCACGCGAGCGGTTACGGGGCGTTGAGCGCTTGACTGGCTCCCAGAAGATGGGCCTCGATGCCCAGGCCATTGGAGACACCTTCCAGGGCTTGGTAGGAACATTGTCTGACTGCCTCCGAGCACTTGCTTCTGTGGGGTTCTGGGGCCAGCGGGCCCTTCACTAAATTCAGCTGTGAGAGCTCCTGACGTTGGTGGAAACGCCCCCCCCCCCAAGGCTGCTACGGGGAGAGGGGCAGGGCAGTGCATTGCGCATATTTGCATATATTTGTATACATTTGCATACATTTGTGGGGTTCAAAGAGCGAGCGTCACAACTGCATCTAATGGGCCTGGCTGTGGGAGGCCTTTCCTCCACCCCTCCTCCCTGCACACACATCCCTCATGGGGCGCAGGTCCCCCACTCTCCAACTCCAGGCAGAACTTCCCAGCTGGGACCTCAGTTTATCCATCTGAGCAGAGGTGGGGAGACACTGAACTATACCTCCGGCCGAGGCCGGGGCTGCAGGAGGGCCACGGGTGCACTAATGGGGGTATTGCAGACAGGGTGGCAAGGGGGCTCCTGGGGAGGTGGCCAGCCCTGCACCATCCTGTCTCCCTGCCTCGCAGGGTTCGGAGGCCACGTGGCTGGACCAAGCAATCCTGTGCGTGGCTAACATACTGGGTGAGACCTGCAAAGACGACATCCAGCGGCACCTGGAGGCGCTCATCCAGAGCTACCCCGACATCAGGTCCGTGCTCCACCTGCTAACCCGGTTCCAAGGGAGCGTTGCGGGCCTTGGGGTCTGGGGGTCTGATGGTGGAGACATGTACCCCTCCCTGCCCGGGGGAGTTTGGGGGGAGACCTGGCCCCACCTCGGAGACAAAGTCCTCTCTGGAAGCCCTGCCAGGAGGAAAGAGT